TTATCTCCATTAGTCAATATAAGGGCGCCATAGCGTATTCGACAGTATTACAATTAACTTTTCTATTATGGGGGATTGGAAGCCCATACCTGTCGGGGAATAATATCGACACTAGAGTAGTGTTTCGACCAGCAGGTAAGACGACGATACCCCCACAGTTGACATAACTTAGAATAAACAGATCTTACTTCTTTCTTTCATCTTTTACTTCTTTTAAGCTGCATTATGCTAACAATACGAATGCAAGTAAAACAAATTTTTAATGCACCTTCTATCAAATGCCTTAATCATCCACAACAAGACATTGAATGAACGACAAACTTCCATTCTTCAAAACATTTCAACTCAGCTGTTTACTTAAGCTTGTTGCACACTAAGGCCCGGTTTACAAGCAGGGAGGGTAACCCTTGTGCTAGGGTTACCCTAGCAGGCGGGTCAAAGATAGCCCGGGTTTACAAGCAAAATCTCACAGGTAGGGTTACCTTACCACCCGAGAAAACTTACCTATGCTTGGTAACCGCACGCATTGTTATCAATGTTCAAAGAGTCTGGAAACATATAAAAAGTTGTCCCGGGTAGGCGAGTTATCCCCAGCAGAGCATTTACAAGGCGGCTAGGGTTACCCTACCGCTAGGGTAACCCTTGGGCTCAGCCAGGGTTACCGTAGTGCTAGGGTAACCCCAGCTGCCTTGAAAACACGTCGATGAAAAAAAGAAGAAATGTGGGAGCGTTAGGGTAACCCTCCTGCCAGGGTAACCCTAGAAGTAGGGTTACCCTACCTGGCGGTAGGTTACCCTAAGCAGGTAGGGTAACCCTAGTGCTAGGGTTACCCTGACAGGAGGGTTACCCTAACGCTCCCACACTCCTTCTTTTTTTTTCGCTCTGCTTGGGATAACTCGCCTACCAGGGACAACTTTTTACTTGTTTCCAGACCCTCCTGACAGGCTGTGTTTTCATCGATCTATCAAAGGCGTTTGACACCATCAGTCACTCTGGCCTCCTGAGCAAGCTTTCAACTTACGGAGTTCGTGGAACAGAACTCGCATGGTTCACTGATTACCTTTTCTGCAGATCACAAGTTGTCCAATATAAAGGCGTGCTATCAGAACCTCAACCCATTCTCACAGGTGTTCCTCAGGGAAGTATCCTGGGTCCTATCTTATTCATTATCTTTTTCAACGATGTACATAAACCGCTTCAACACTCGAAGATTATCACTTATGCCGACGATTCAGTCATCTATACCTCTTCTAAAGATATTGATACTATACAGAGAAGCCTTAGCGAGGATATGAATAACCTGTGCGAGTGGTTTAAAGACAACGAACTGATCATTAACCTAAAAAAGGACAAGACGGAGTCTATGTTATTTGGAACAGCTAAAAGAATCAACCTTCAAGACAAGGAACTTAAACTTTCTGTTAATGGGACACTCATCAATAACACCTCTACCTATAAGTACTTAGGTGTTCACCTTGACTCATCACTAAACCTTGCATCACATTTTGACCGAATCTATAAAAAAGCTGCAACCAGAATTAATCTCTTGCGATCAATTCGTCCTTTGATCGACCAAAAGTGTGCAGAATCGATCTATAACACTATGATCGCACCTATTTTTACCTATTGCGGAACACTTGGTCTTAGCTTTCCGGATTACCGAAAGGAAATGATAAAGAACATCGAACGACGAGGCTTTAAAGTTATTGGCAATAGTTCTTTTAATCCCCCATCCGTGAACAATTTGATCAAGCGTAAAAGCTGTTTGTTTGTTTTCGACTGTCTCCTGAATAATGTTTGCACACCCTTTAAGAACTACTTCGAAAGACTGGTTCATTCTAAGGCCACTAGGAATAACGGTATATCAGTGAAATTACCCAAAGTACGTTTA